CAGCACTGGGGAGGCTGCGGCAGGAGGATCATTGCAAGTTCAAGACCAACCTGGACTGAGCTGAAGGCCAGGCTGAACTGCACAGTGAGACCCTGTCTCAAAAAGACAAAAACGAAAAACAAAACAGACAAACAAAACAAGTGGGGGTGAGGAAGGAAGGGACAAGAAAAGAATAGAAGGAAAAAATGGAAATAAAACCTGGGCGAAGTGGCATATGCCTTTGATCCCAACACTCAGGAGGCTGAGGCAGAAAGAGTTGGAGAGCAGCCTGGGCTATCAAGTGAGTTCAAGGCCAACCTGAACTGCATACTGAGACCTTGCCTTTTTTTTAATCTTTTATTTTTTTGGTACCAGGAACCAAACTCAGGACCTTGCACTTGCCAGGCAGGTGCTGTGCTGCTGAGCTACATCCCCAGGCCAGAGTGTACCAGAAGAGAGCCGAAGTTGACCATTTGATGCCCTATGTACAATTAAAATACAAGAGGTGATCAAAATATATGGTGAATGTTTCCATTAAAAATGTTTATTACAGAGAAAGACACTACCATGAAGCCTCCTCTAAATCCCCCCAACACACTTGCCCCATGGTTCTTGCCACTTTTTGAAGCAGCTCAGGGAGGTTTTTTTCATGTCTTTATGAGGTGTGATTAAAAAATATAGTGAACGTTACTGCTGAGTTGCATCTAGTGGAAAGTAGGATTGTAAAAACATTACCATGTGTCCTTGACATAGGAGGTAGAGCGTGGGAAATCCGGCTGGAGACATGGGCGGGACCTTTCAATTTCAAAACCCCTGGGCGGAGCCAGATGATTCCCGGCCCCTATACAGAACTTCTCTCCAGCTCCCAGGAGATGTGGAAGGCGTAAAGGAGGTCAGACGCCACCAGGGCCCACTGTCATGACTCTTCGTGGTAACTTTTGCTCTTTTTCTCTTTTCCTCTTTTGTTTGGCTCAAGTTTGCTCTGCAGAGCCAGCTCTTCTCTTACCCCTTTACCCTTCAGCTTTGAAATAAACTTTTTGCACTGTTTTTGGCTTGGCTTGTCCAATTCTTTGTTTGAGACAAGAAGGACTTGCATACTGTTAGTCGGCAATCCTTTTTTTGACAAGGTCTCATTATGTAATGCAGGCCGGCCTTGAACTCACTTATGTAGCCCAGGTTGTCCTGGAACTCATGCCAATCCTCTTGCGTCAGCCTTCTGAGCGCTGGGATTACAGGCGTGCATCACCACACCTCGCAAGCGAACCAATTTTTAAAAAGAACTACCTGAAAATATCCTCATTTACCTTGCTCATGGAACAGCTTCTGGCTCTTCCCCAAAGTCAAAATGATTATGGAAGGTATAGTAAATATTTTGAATTGATTCTGGACCTCAAGACAGCCATGACAGTGCAACCAAAGAGTATGTCCAGAACTGCTTCAGAAAGTGGCAGAATGCCGGCTTGGTGGTGGTGCACATCTGTAATCTTAGCACTTAGGAGGCTGAGGCAGGAGGATCAAAAGTTTGAAGCCAGCCTGGGCTACACACAGAGTTCAAGGCCAGCCTAGACTATACAGCAAGACTCTATTTCAAAAAACTGTTTGATTTTTTTTTAGGTCTATGGGGGATATTTTTTCCTTTGGCTTTGTATGAAGACAGATCTTCTGTGACCAGAGTAAAAATTCTTAGCACAATGGAGGAGGGTGGTGTGTAGACATTTTAGATAACCAAGGTCCTGTGTTTAAGTTCTGTATTATTCATGTGTAAACATGATTACAAGGTTATAGATGAAGAAAAAGAAAGCAGCAAGAACAATAAAGTGAGAGTATCCAAAATGAAGGGGAGCTTTTCCTTTTGGTACTGAGATTCGAACTCAGGACATCGTGCTTGTCAGGCAGGTACTGTGCTGCTGAGCTATATCCCTGGCTGATGAGGAGCATTGTGAGAGATATTAATGCCAATGCATCCCTTAATACATTTTAAAAGAACTTAAGGATTCACTGTACTTTTCAATTACATTCTTGTGTTGCTTTCAAAATTTAAGTGTCATATAAACTACAGATTCTGTAGTGTGGAAGGGTGCTGGGTATTGAACCCAGGGCTTTTTCTGAGCTACATCCCCAGTCTTTTTTAAATTGAAA